TGTAATTGTAGCTTTGCAGCACTTAACCGAAACAGCAAATTAAACCAGTTATGAAAACAGTTTATAGTGTCTTTTTTTCTTTTTTTTTTTGGTTCACTTGAATTGACAAAATAAATTCAATAGTCAGGGGAAGATTCAATTCAGTTTATTTCTATAGCACCAATTCACAACACATGGCAAGGCAATCCCTCACACTAAGCATGCATGTAGCCACAGTGGAGAGGAAAAACTCAATTTTAACAGGAAGAAACCTCCAGCAGAACCAGGCTCAGTGTGAGAAGCGATTCTTGTGGGATGGAAGAGGGAAATAGTGACAATGAAGAAGATTGGAAGAGGGTAGCCTCAAAAAATTAGAAAAAGCGAGAAAAAAAACAGATCAGTTGAGGGGGAGTCCAGTTCCGAACATTCAAGTGATGATCAATCCATACATTCCACAGCAAAACAGAATGAATACAAAGTCATATTCAAAGTTGTTAATCAGGGAGACTATTTTGCAAATTGGAATCCGGTTCACTTAACAAAAAACATAAATAAACTTTTTGGAAAATTCGGAGATGCCAGAATCCTGTACAGTGGAGACTTGTTAATCAACTGCAGAGACAGCCTCAGCAAAGCAAAGCCATTCAGATCAATAAAATTGACGGGATAAGAGTTCAGTGCAGTTTGGTGGAAAACAAAAAGATCCGCAGGGGAGTGATTGGAGGAGTTCCTCTGAAAAAGAAATTCTAGAAAACAGCGGTGCAAAAGTAAAATAAGTGTAACTGTTAAAAACAACAAGAAACGGAGAAAGATCTGACAGTTTATCTGTATTAATTACATTTGAAGAAGAGCAATTACCCATTAAAGTATTCATTGGTTACATCAGCTATAATGTTAACATTTACAATCCTCCACCTCCGAGATGTTTCAATTGCAAAAAATTCGGAGACACAGCAGCAGTTTGTAAAGGGACACAGAGTTGTGGAAGGTGTGCAGCAGAACATGAGTAAGGAAAATGGAAAAGGAGCTGAAATAAAATGCTGTAACTCTGGTGGAGAACATATTGCTGCTTATAGCGGCTGTGAAGCAAGCAAAAGGTCTAATCAGAATTACTTAAGCTGAAGCTGCAAAAACAGAGTGCGAAATACGGGGGGTTCCGGGGGGCTTTCGGGGGGTCCATGGGACCTTCAAAAGCTAAATTTAAGGCCCCGTCCANCAATCTAGTGACCCAGGCTAAGTTATCAGCAGAGCTATTAATAATCAATCAAGTATTTATGTTTATTCACACTGTTACCAAAAGTGGGTGGATCTGACCTGAGTGATAAATCGTCCACTATATGGATTACAAGACCACTACAAGTTAAACAATGACGTCTTTATTCTAATAATTCAGGAATACAGAAATCTAACAACCTTGCAAACACTACAAGCT